AGAGAGAGAGAGAGAGAGAGAGAGAGAGAGAGAGAGAGAGAGAGAGAGAGAGAGAGAGAGAGAGAGAGAGAGAGATGTGCAATTGTTGTGTGACTTCACTGACTTGTGTCCGCTTGTATGAAAAAAAACGGCATGGGCTAAAGACAGGCAAAACATTTCACCATAATAATATGCGAGGCTCAAGTTCAAACTCAGAAAGGTGCACACAGCTCGTGACAGTGTGTGTGGAGTAAGTAGAGTCTTAACCCTTGAGGCTTCATTATCCTCAGAACGAGACACAAATGGTCAGGGAGGGAGACAGATGAGCAGTGAGCAGAGCAATACAGATTGGATAGTGCTAGTGACTAGACTGCTGAGGAAGAAACCCATGCCATATATAACGGACGCAAACAGTCAGAGAAAGCGCCATAGCGGCTGAACTGCACATGAACCACATGTCATGATCTACTTCATCTCTCAATTGTACAGACGACCCACCACTGTGACATCGTAAGACGGTCAAGAAACAAACTGCGTTAGTCATAAGCAAGTAGACCGTTGCAAAATGCAAGTTGAACAACAAATAGTCCAAACATCAAGAGGAGGAACCACCGCCATCGCCATCTACTGCATGCGACAACGTTTTGATCTGAAGGCTGGCAACCATAGCTACGTAGCCCCTTCACCCGAATAGAACGCCGGGTCATTATAGCCGTATTTGGCACAACTTTGGGTCCAGATGGAGCGATAATGACCGGGCGTTCTATTCGTGTGAAGACGGTAGCCTCTTCAGTGGCATCTCCGTCCTCTACTCTCAGCGACTCATGGGAAACAGAAGGCTGGCATAGATAGCTCACCTTCTCTCTCTCAGCCTCCAGATTCCGGCTCACGCCGTGAGTTGAAGGACCAGACCCAAATCCTTGGTGCGTAAGCGTATTGACAGTGGCTGTGCAGCTGCACTATTTATACGTTAACGGAAGTCGTTGAAGGGACTGAACAGCTGGAGGGATGGGTTGGGAGAAAGGGCCCCAAAGCTGTGGTCCCCCACCAGTAATTATTCTTGACATGATTTGTGCAGCCCATGGTACGGTTCACATCCATCTGCTTTTCTCGCACTGACAGTGTCGTTCCACCTCTCCCACCCCCTCCTTCTTGTCTGCCAGGCTCTGCCTTACGTCCATAGTTCGGGACACATTCCAGTCTGAGGGCCAGATCCCACTGGCAAAGAGGATTGGAATAAGTGTCTGATCAGGACATGTTCCACTCAGATATGCAGAAAAACAGATCGATTACAGATTTTTGCAACTCTCCACAAACACCTCCAGATTCAGACACAGACACTTAATATTCCAATCGTTATTGCCAGTGGCATCTCGCCCTGAGTCTATGAGACACCTTGTCTCACCTGCATACCATTACGCACGAAGAACGAAACGGAGACTGGTGGGACGTACAGGATGTTTCTAGGCCCATGTTCCTTTGTCCTATTGTTGGTCCCAGACATGTGGGCCCAGGTGGAGATCATGGACTTGGCTGTTTGCATGCGGCAGGCACATGACTGCAGCCAGGGTACTTGAGGAATGTGTGATGTTGAACAGGCCTGGAAGTGCCAAAAGGTGCTCGGCTCCTGGTTGAGCCATCTTGTTTTTTTTTTTTTTTTTTTTTTTTTTTTTTTTTTTTTTTTTTAATTCCCTTGGAATCCTGGATAAACCATGGTGACCTTAGTCACCTTGGTTATGCATGATAAGAATCATGGTGATACCTGGCACTGCTGGAAGGCTGGCACACAAAGAAACAAACTCCATGATAATTTTTTGAGTAATGTCAACTCTTTTGCCATCTGCCATGATTTCTCCCTTAACCCCTTTTTCGGGGTAAGCGACACGGGAGTCACAAAAACAGTTTGAAATTACACTTGGGGCCAAAACGAATTTCAAATTTCACCCCGGGCAATGCATACAAGCCAACTTTCTGCTAAGGTACATTGCCCGGAGTGCAATTTGAAACCCGTTTTGGCCCCAAGTGTAATTTCAAACTGTTTTTGTGCCTCCCACGTAGTTACCCCTTCTTGTTTTTTTTCCGTTCTTTTTCGTCTTCGAGAAGATTATCTGCCTACTGTGGGGCAACCCGGGGGTGGTACGGGTACCAGCACCCCGAGCGGGCCCTCCGTAGCACACACCACAGAATCATGGCTCCTGTCTATTGATGGGAAGCAGCCCTTGAAGAGGTCATTTTGCACATGGGCACACTTGAGGAGGTGACAGACAGCACCCCATGGTCCCCATCCACTGCTGCCCAGTGCCCACCCCCAGCCTCATGAGGGGTGGGTCTTCCCGGTCTTCACCAGTACTTCTAAAATCATTTTTCCCTCCCCTCCCCCTCCCCCTCCCCCTCCCCCTCCCCCTCTCCCCACCCAATAAAAACCCTTGTAACAGGGAAATCACTACCATGCACCCACATACCACTGGCCCATTGGCAATGAGATTCAATTGCTGGAAGCCTTGGAAGATAATGACTGCCTCACAGGATCCGCCCCTCTGCCAATTGCTGGAAGGCCGGAAGCCTTGGAGGATAATGCCTGCCATAAAGAATGCTGCACCACCGTTATTGCGAAAAACTTAAGGGGGTAACGCGGAAAAGAGAAAGAACTTTCAAAGATTCTGAAACGAATAATGCTGGTGGCAGCTGGTCCTCTGCCTCTACAAACAAAAGGTATGCTCTATAATTGATTAGAAAAATGTTTCAGACATCACAGTGGACACTAGGGAGCTTGCTGCACGGCTCGCCAGATGTGTACACCACAATAATTGATTAGTGTACTGCTTTCCAGTGCCCGGCCGGCCATATGGCCGTGCGCCTGTGAACGGGCAGACCACGAAAGATCAGTGTTTTTTTTTTTGTTTTTTCCCTTTTGGGCTCACCCAGCAACATTCGCCTCAAGCCCCACAGCGTGATGACGTTAAATGAAAAAACAATTCTAAAAATCCTACAAAACAACAAACAAAAATGCTTATCCTTCTTGACATCCGCCAAAATTGGAAAGATACAGAGTAGATTTGCATGGCCTCTGTGCCAGGATGACACGCATAAATCGAAAAATGCTTATTTTGGCTGGTTGTTTCTTTTTTTCGTTTTTAATTAAAAAATACATTATTCGTGAGAATAAAAATAAAAAAAGGGGCAAGTACGCCTGGAGGGAGATCCCACTACGCACGTGAGTGGAGTAGTGGACACGGTGTGTGACTCCAATGCACCGCGGATCGGGACGGCAATCAGTGGTGTGTGTTTTTTCGTATTTAAGGGGATGGGTATATATGTATTTCCGTGGCGCCCTATTGGTGGGTCTTGCTTCTTTTTTTGTTTTGAAGGTCCTAGAGGGGTCCCCGATGTAAGTGAAAATCATGACGATTGTTTTCGTTCTGATTTTCACGTACCTTCCACTTACCTTTTGGAGGGCGCCCTTGCAGGAAAGAAAGGCCAACAGCTAAAAGTTTCGGCCTTTGCCATTATGACGGGATGTCAGTTCGTGTCAGACTGTGTGCGAATCCTGTCACACTACACCACATACCTCTATTGTGGGATCTCCCTCCTGTAGTCCAGAATGGGCAAAAAAAACACAGTTCTGCAGGTCCCTGTCCTTCTCCGTTCATAAAAGGCAAGAAAAACATCTGGGGGCGCTCCGGACATATGGCAAGGTTAAAAATGGGCAGTTTTGTCGTTTTCAGGACCCGTTCCTTCCCGGGTACCAGTTGGGATAAAAGGATGGGAGGACAGAGTAGCATCTGCAGAGGGCAAGTACATGTTTGTGCAGATGTGGGGCTCAGTAAACTCAACGTCATTTCTGCATAGACACGTCCAGATTCGAGCATCGAGAAAAAGCAAGGCTGCTGGTGGGACTCTGCACCCGGCCTCGTGGAGCTCGGGCAGAGAGGTTGCAAATTCTGTTACAAGTGGAGTCCCGGTGGACTGCGCGGGCGAATTAAAAACTGGGAGCGCGCGCGAATTGTCCGCACA